TCTCTCTCTCAAATAAATAAATAAAATCTTTAAAAAAAAAAAAAGTCAATCTGATAGCCTAAGGTAAGGGTTTGTTTTGGGAGGTTCATCACAAGAAAATTATATGGGCAACTTGTTACTATCCATAATTACACTATAAATAATTTAATCCATCTAATATGCACACTTTTCTTACTTTGGCCACTGCACAGTTGACTAGGCTAAACACTGCACAACTCCAGGAGACACATTCACATAAACTACAATGTGAACAGTACCCCTGAAGTTGTGCAAGGAGGAACCCACACAACTGTACAGTGGAACACTGGTTCTTGATTCTTCCTGATGCTCAAGAAAGAGAAAGTTCTTATGTGCCTTGACATGAATAGTAATAAAAGGTCACTTCATAGTAAAATGACTCTCTTACACCTTTTATTAAAGTTTGGTGATTGTGCTCGCTTCGGCAACACATGTATTAAAGTCTGGTGACAGAAATGATTAACACTTGGTAAGCACTTACTGTGGACTAGGGCTCATCTATGTGCTTTAGACTGACTAATTCATTTAATCCTCACAATAAACCTATAAAGTAAGTAGAATTATTATCCCTATTTTACAGATCAGAAAATTGAAAGATTAAGTAATGTTCCCAAGTTAGGCAACCAGTAAATGGTGAGACTGGGATATAAATTCAAAATTCAAGATCTGGTGTCCAATTTTGTATTACTACACTTGACTGCATCCTACACAGCATTTAAAATAAGCATTTGAGAATATCCAATTTGTTGAGAATATTAGAAAGAGAATATGTTCATTCTCCATAGTTTAGAATTTGTCCTTTCTTTGCTTCCCAGGAAAACAGAAATTATGCCTTAATGTCTATTAGAAGAATCCTTCTCTGTGGGGCTAGTGCAAACATGATTCATATTTTCGGGATGACTCTTTCCAGTTTTCCTGTAAAGGGAAGGGTGCCTGGCCCAACCCTCCCCTCACATATAGCTAAGTCGTCCTTATGAAGTGAGAAATTAGTGCAATTACGACAGTGCTCGGGCCTTCTCTCCCAAGTAACTCATGACAATGTTTAATAAAGAGAAGCAAAGCTGTAAAATCACTTTGAGACACGTTATAACCATATGCAATGGTCCCTTTTCACGACAATTTGCAGACCCTTTGAAATAAGGATTTCAATGAAATTTTTAGAATGCAAGCGTCCTGGCATCCTATGTCTGTTATAGTTACTTCTTTGGTTCCGAGTTCCACCTGCCTCTTTATTATAGCCTTCCAAAGTAAACAATGTAATAAATCTGCATTGTTTCAGCAGTAACCTCCACCATTGCCAGGAAGAAATCTAAATTGACTATCATATGACTTTCTTTCTACCACTAGTTTTTTTTATTTATTTATGCCAACTTTGGCTAAAATCTAATGATGATGTACACATCATCATTGTGTGTGTGACTTTGGAGTCAGGCTGCAGAGGTTCAAATCCTGGCTCAACTAGGGCTGTTGGGGGAGGCAAAGTACTCATTGTCTCCTGGCTCCATTTCTTCATCCATAAAATAGAGTATAATAATAGTATCTCCATCAGCTGGCTACTATAAGTATTAAATGAGATAATAAATATAAAGATCTATAAATAGCAACTGACACAAAAACCACAATAAACTTTAACTAGTAATATTGATCTAATTCTTTTTCTTCTGATTTATTTTTCACAATCCTTTCCCTACCAGATTCTCTTCACATCAGATAATCAGCAGGTCAGCAAATATTTGTTAAATATCTGCTGAGGAAAAAGTTATAACAATTGCAAGAAAAAAATAACAGAAACACTGATCCAGAAAGTCTACAGTTCTCTTGGCTTAACATAATAATGTACATAAAGCAATGAGAAATAGTAAATCATGGCAAACCCTTATGGGTTAAACTGCATGGTACAAAATACGTGTTGAAAAAACTCAGAAGAGAAGACACCAGTAAGGACAGTTTCGTGGCAATTGTTGGAACTTGAACTAATTATAAAAGATGAGCAATATTTAAGTGGGTAAAGGGGAGATATCACCTTACCAGTTAGAATGGCTAAAATCAAAATGACAAGAAATAAAAAGTGTTGGCAAAGATGTGGGGGGAAAAACTGTGGTGGGAATTGAAATTGGTACAGCCTCTGCTGTAGAATCAGACCTATCAATACAGGGAACAAACTGATGGTTGCCAGAGGGAAGAATGGCGGGGGGTTGAGCAAAATGAGTGAAGGGGGGGTGGAAGATACAGGCTTCCAGGTATGGAATGAATAAGTCACAGGAATAGAAGGCACAGCATAAGGAATAGTCAATAACATTGTAATAGCAATGCAACAAGACACATGGCAGCTACGCTTTTGGTGAACATAGCATAATGTATAAACTTGTCAAATCACTAAGTTGTACACCTGAAACTAATATAACATTGTGTGTCAACTATACTCAAATTAAAAAAAAAAGTGCATTCCAGGTAGGAAACAAGATGGAAAGCGACACAAATGAAGATCCCATATGTTCTTGAGAAAGTAAAGAACCTAGACTGCCTGACTTCATTTTATCCTCATTTAATTTTTTCAGATCAGTGTGAAAATTAAGCTCAACATTTAAGGTGAAATAACAGGGTAGGAATTAGCAGGTCCACGTCCCACATAAACAGTACTTGTGATTGGAATAGCGTATCCCCAACTTTTATGTTCCACTCTCTAAACCTGACTAGTTCTATTCTATCCTCCCCACTGTCAGACAACTAAGAAAGTGCAGCTAACTAATAGCTTATCACAATGATGCTCACCACTGTTTCCCAAAGCAGTATCTCCCATGGTTCTTAGAAAGTCTTTATGGAACAGCCAAGTAAAATATGTCTGGTTGCTGCAACTGGCTGTTAGGCACGGTTTTGCATAATTCAGTAGATTCTTTTGTATACCATTAAAACTCTGTAGTCAGATTAAAAAACTGGAAGAACTTGTTTATATTGAGAGTATTTTCTTTTTCCTGAGAGGATTTTACCCTTTGAATACTGCTTCCCAAATTCACTTCTTTTGAAATAGAAACAAGCTACAATATGAACAGGATTATCTTATGCAATTACTTATTTGAAGAATTCACTTTTAACTTGACTTTATTTAAATGTCTACAGGTGCTCATATTGGTTCATGGAGAACTGCGAATAGAGGTAAAGTATGAAAAAGTTTTTTGTAACTAAAATGATAGTTCAGTTCAAAAAATTAAAATTGTATTGGGGAAAAATAAATATTTTTTTAATGTTTAAAACTATTAAATAATTGTGAAAATAAAATTAAAACTAACCCAATTTTAAATACCAAGAATGTATAAATGTCATTATTACACTTTATCTCATGCATTCTTTCTTATTTTAAACAAATCAACAGCTTTTTAGTAAACAGGTCCTATGTGCCCAGAGCAGTGAGATATTATGGAATATATAAAGGAAATATAAAATATGATCCAATGCCAATATTAAAAATCATATGGTTCTGTAATTATTTTAGATATTTAATGTTCCTTCTTTGCTTGACAAAGTGTGAGGTCAAGCAAAGTAGACATTCAACAGTCCTAGATACCATGAAACACAGGGGCCTCTGAACCTAGGTGTTGATAAGCAATACTCAAAGCAAAAATTTCCAACAATGCACATAATAAAATGGGATACCTTTTCACATAAGACAAAGGGCCAACACGGAGAAGATGATACTGCAGTACAAGGCAAAAGGAGATACAAGCGTGAATGGGTGAAATTTGCAAAACCCTGCAGAGAAAGAGAAGACAACTCGAAAAGAAATCCGATTGCCAAAGTAAGTCATATCAGCAGGGGCAATGTGAGGTTTTAGAATAAATGTAATAGATGTAAATTAAAATGATATGGCAACTCCATTTATCAAAATGTAGACTGGGGAGTGCACAGAACAAATAACCTGGGATCTTCAACCAAAAAAATACAATAATAATAATATAGAGGGAGATGAAGGAACTATGGCTTCTAGAGTAATAAAAAATAATTAAGAGACAGGTGGACCAACTTCAATGAATATGCCTTATTTAGATCTGGATTCTAGCAAACAGATAGAAAAAAATATATGGATAAGACAATAAGATAAGTGGTTGGGGGTCCATGTATTCATAATGATTAAAACTGGGTGATGAGATATATCAGGTTCATTACTAACCTAACTTTATATATATTTGAAATTTTCCATATTAAAAAGCTTGA